CCGTCAGAGCCGAAAATCTCAGACGGCTCTTTCCCTCCGTAAAGATCTTCTTCTGAGAAGAAATCGGAGGTGTGCTTGAGAGGTTTTCCGAGGACGAAAGCCTCCAAATATTGCAACAACTCCTTGTCAGTTGGCTTGAATATGAAACCATGGAGAGAACGAAGAGCCATGATCGTAAATTTTTATTTGTAAATATGGGACAGAGAATGAGAGCAAGTGACCGAGATCGAGAGTGATATCGATATAGGTGTAATAATAAACGTTTGATTATATATTAACAATATATATATAGGGTAGCTGGGTGGCGGGTAGGGTTGAGTCGGGCTAAAAAAGTTTAAAATTTTTAATTATGAATAAAAATATTAATGATAAGATGAGAAATAGTTAGAAAAAATTACATATATATCATTTTAATATGATATTTTATTTTAACTTATTAATTTTATTTATTTTTAAATTTATTTGAATATGATGACACATTATATTATGGTTCTATTTAGCAGAGCTTATTTTGGAATTTATTATTTATTATAAGCTATTGGTAATTTTTTCAAAAGAATTAATTACTGAAATGGTGCATTGACTATAGCGAAATTACAAATTTAGTTATTGACTATTTTTTGATCAATTAAGTCACTCAACTTTAAAATTTTTAACCAATTTGGTCTTCCGTTTGTTTTGACGTTAAGGATCCGTTAACTTGGGACCAAATTGGTAATTTCGCTTAGTCAAAGGACCATTTCAGTAATTTACTTTAGGAGCGAGCAATTCGGTTCGGTTCTCCCGAACCAATCCGTATCGAATTAGTTCGATAATATACTCAATAATCGAATATCGTTTAATTTTTTTTAAATATAATAATAATAATAATAATAATAATAATAAGAGATAATTACCTTATTATTATTATTATTATTATTATTATTATTATTATTATTATTATTATTATTATTAAATAATCAAACGGTATTCGTTTTGATTTGATTTTTTACCGAATAATTTGGTTATGTTCGGTTTTTTTACCGAATCATTCGGTATACAAGAATCCATTATCGTTTGATTGTTCGTTATATTACTGAACAGAACTAGTTCGGTTTGGTTTGGTACGGTTCAGTTCGGGAAAACTGAATTGAATTGCCCACGCCTAAAGTTAATTATTGAAATGGTCCCTTAACTATAGTGAAATTACCAATTTGGTCCCAAGTTAACGGATCCCTAATGGCAAAATAAATGGAGGACCAAATTGGTTAAAAATTTAAAGTTGATGGACTTAATTGGTCAAAAAAAAAATAGTCAAGCACCAAATTGATAATTTCGCTATAGTCAAGGGACTATTTTGGTAATTAACTGTTTTCAAAATAAGCTAGTAGCTTAAAATAAGAATTTATTTTAAAATGCTACCTACCGTTTCAAAAATAAGATAATAGCATCCTAACTTTTTTTTTTTATCTTTATTATTTAAATAAATAACATCCTTTACCCTCTCAATTAATTTTTTTTTTTTTGGTTTTTTTTTCTCTTCTCTTATATATATTTTTATTCATTCTCTTCGGCAATTTTTCACCGCCCAACAACGTAACTCTTTAAAGTTCCAACTCCAACGAAAATTTATGTGAGACCTATATTGAGATGAAGGAGATTCGCAAAAAATATTGCTACTTCATTATAGGATGCCACATCATGATTATGCTAATAGTTTTATTTCAAAATGATTTTTTTTTTTTTGATCTGAGATGAGGGGGATACCCAAAACAACTACTCAAAGCGCCCTACTCAAAACGCCCTGATGACTCAATAATTCTGCGTAGAGAGGAAGCACCGATCTGATCCAGAGCCACCAACTCCATTAACTCTGGCGGAGGTGATGAGAAAAGACGAAGCCCTCTCTCGTTCATTACATCCTGCGATGCCATCTTGTCAGCCACCCTGTTCTGCTCTCTGTAAATATGCTCATAATGTATTTCCAAACAACTAGCCGCTTCTTGTATGCACAGCCAGCCAATGTTGTGATTTTGGTCCTTCCAACCGCCTTTCTTGCGCAAACAATCCACTACGTTCTTAGAACCGCATTCGAGAATTATCCTCGTGGCGCCAAAATTTTTCGCCATTCGTAGCCCCTGGAGAACTCCCCATGCCTCAACAGCTTCAACAGAACACCTTCCAATTTTGTAGGAGAAACCCCGACACCACCTGCCATCCTCATCTCGAAGCACACCACCACAGCTCGCTAAGCCACTGTGTTTGCAGCACCCATCAACATTAAGTTTCAGCCAGCCCCTCATCGGTCTCTTCCACGCCATCGAAGTGGTAACGGCAAAGGGCGGTTTGTTCATAGGTTTCCATTTTTTCTTGAAGGCCCCTACCACTTCATTGTCATACTTCCGGAGCCAGGTAATCTTTTGGTCAAGAGGCATAAGGTTCCCGTTGAAAAGCTCGTCATTCCGCCACCTCCACAACCACCATAACCTGCATGTGAAAAGCTCAGGCCAACCCTCCGAAAAGCCATTTTTAGCATCTCCCTGTAGATTTGTCTCGAGCCATGCTGCCCAGTCCAACCCACGCAGCTTCTCGATTGTTCTCCAATGCAAAGCCGCCTCCCAGATGTTTCTGGTTGCCACACATCTCCGAAACAAATGATTTAGGTCTTCCCTTTGCCCTGCACAACGAAAACAACATGCATTAGAAGTCAGATGGCGTCTTTCACGCTTAGCATTCGTAAAGATCCTCTCATGTCGCACTAGCCAGAGGAACATAGAGACTCTGACCGGCACCCGCAACTTCCAAATTAGCTTCCAAAACTTTTCTATATCGCTAGCATGACCTCCGGTTATCAACCCATATGCAAATTTCACCGAGAATCTTCCATGGGCATCCGGGCTCCAACCCCATTCGTTGCACACGTCTTCCCTCACCAATTCGAAGCCTGCAAGTTTTTCTAATTCCTCCCGAGGCAAATTCTGTTCCAAATTTTCCCACTTCCAACTTCTGGCCTTGTCCCAATATTCGTCAACATTTGCGTACAACTCGGGAAGACTGAGCGGTCGAAGAAGTTTCTCGTACAAAGAGTATGGATAGAGCCATTTATCCATCCAGAAGCGGGTGCTCTCGCCATTACGTACCGTATGCATGATGCCCTTTTCCAGCCATTCACTCGCACTGCACATACCTCTCCATACATTTGATGAAGTCCGTCTGCTAGAAATGTCCATTCGAGCACCAGCCTGGCATTTGTATTTCGTCGCTAGGGTGGTTGCCCATAGAGCCTTTGATTCCGTCCTAAATCTCCAGCAGAGTTTGGTCATGCACGCAATGTTCATCTCATGTAGTTTCCTTAGACCGAGGCCACCATTCGCCCTTCCCGGTGTAACCAAATCCCAACTTACTGGACTCATTTTGTTTCCCCCTGTCAGCTCATTTCTACCCCATATAAAGCGTCTGGTCCTTTTTTCAATTTCATCGCAAATTCCTTTCGGGAGTGCTGCGGTCTGCATGGTGTAAATCGGGATAGCGTTCAGAACAGATTTCGCTAAAGTGACTCTCCCGGCAAGCGACAGAGTTTTGGCCTTCCACCCTTCCAACCTATGCGCAATGCGTTCCAAAAGGCTAGCATAAGTATTGCAAGTCACCCGGCCATAGATGGATGGCACTCCTAAGTACCTTCCCAAGTCTGTTGTTGCAGCTATACCCAACTTGCCCGCAATCGCTGTAGCCACTTCTGGGGGCGTGTTTCTTGAAAAGTGGACCTGTGACTTACTGAGACTGATTTTCTGCCCAGAGCCCTTACAAAAGGAATCCAAATAGCTTTGCACAATATCCACCTGAGCCACCGATGCCTTTGTGAAAAGTACCATATCATCAGCGAAGCATAAATGAGACAAGATTGGCCCGTCTGGAGCGAATTTGATTCCTTTACAATTCCTTTTAGTGACCTCGGACAGGATTAAATGACTGAGCCGTTCCATACACAAGACGAAGATAGCTGGGGACATGGCGTCTCCCTGACGAATACCTCGTTCGGGCCTGAAATATTCTAGTCTTTCCCCATTCCAAATGATTGCTAACCTGGAAGTTGAAACGCAAGACATAATAATTTTAACCCAACTATCATTAAAACCTGCCTGTACCATAGTGTCCTTGATGAAATCCCACGACAGCCTATCGTAGGCTTTTTCCAGGTCCAGTTTAATGGCCATGTATCTTTGCTTTCCACGAGCCTCCCGCATGGTGTGCATAACTTCCTGGTACACAATCACGTTGTCCGTAATCTGTCTTTCTGGGACGAAGGAACTTTGGTGCGGTCCTATAACCTGAGGCAAGATACACTTTAACCTGTTAGTAATTGTCTTGGTCAGGATTTTATAACTTACATTGCAAAGGCTGATAGGCCAAAACTGTTTAATCGTGTCGGGGGACCGGACTTTTGGAATTAGCGCGACGAGCGTATCACTCAAACCTTCCGGGATCTCACCAGATCTGAAAACACTTCTGACCAAATTGAAAATGCTATCTCCAGTTACTTCCCACGTATGCTGATAGAAGCCCGCCGGTAAGCCATTCGGGCCCGGGGCTTTGAACGGTTTCATGTCAAAGACAGCCTTCTGCACTTCCTCTTTTGTGACATCCCTATTAAACACCCGTCTGTCTATGCGCCTAATCCTAGGGAAACGTGCTTCAATATCGAGCACACCTGTCGCCTCCGTGTCTTCGGTGAACAGAGCAGCATAAAAGTTCCTAACATGTTCTCGTAGCCCTTCGCCCTCAGTGAGTCAGTTCCCGTTCTCGTCTATCAACTTTGTTATCTTTGTGCGTGACTGACGGACAGTTGCAGCCGCGTGATAATAAGCGGTGTTTCTGTCCCCCGACGTTATCCAATCTTCCCTTGATCTTTGGAACCATAGCAGCTCTTCTTGATACAAGGTGTCCTCCAGCTCAACTTTTAGCTTCTGTTCGAGCTTACATAGACCTCTATGATACTTATTAGCTAGAATCCGTTGGATTCCTCAAATCCTGGAAAGCAAATCTTTCTTCCTTTTGAAGATATTCCCAAACACCTCTTTATTCCAGTCAGAAAGGCCATGTGCAACCCTCTGAACGTTGCCGGCCAAATCCCCATCCGTGTTCCACATCCTCTTAACAACTTTCGTCAAGTCCTGGTGAGTAAGCCAAGCAGCCTGAAAATGAAAATGGAAAAGGTTAGTGGGATTGCCCCTTCGGCTCCCGTGTAGCCGAAGTAAGAGCGGGGCATGGTCCGAAGCAACCCTAGGCAAATGCTCCACTTCAGCATCCGGGAACCTAACTCGCCAGTCAATATTACACAAGGCCCGGTCAAGTCGGGCCCCCTTTGTAGCATCCGTCGGTTCATTCTTGACCCACGTCAACTTGGGCCCCGAAAATCCCAAGTCAAAGAGATCTTCATCTTGGATCCAGTTGACAAAATCCGAGCTCCTTTGGGTAGAGAACGAACTGTAGTTAGTCGTTTCTTCCTTGTTGATGACTGAGTTGAAGTCCCCGGCCACTAGCAAAGGGCCTTGTGGGCCGCGTTTGGACTGAGATAGGTCCCGCCAGAGTCTGCGCCGGAGGTGGTGGGTCGGGCTTCCATAAACTGCCGCAAACACCCATGGTGGCTGCCTGCTTTGAGAAACCTGCACCAAAATAAACTGCGGATGAGTGAAAAGGACAGAGATGTGCACCAGGTCCTTCCAAAGAACCCAAATGCCCCCACTAAAGCCAACGGCCTCCACTCGGATCCAGTCCGAAAACCCGAGCTGTGAGCAGATTTTGTTAGCCTGATCTCCATAAACTTTTGGTTCAAAAAGACCCAGGATATTGGGCTTGTAGACCTGTAATAAGTGCTTAAGGGCATGGCGGAATGGCCTTCTACTCGCCCCTTGGCAATTCCATATCAAACAATCCATAAAAAGGTGAGAAAAAGGGAAGCAAAAACGCACAAAAACCAAAGTAAACAAGGCAAGGGAAACAAAACCTCAATGGCCAATAGTGGCCCCATCACCATCACTTAACCCCGGGATTCCTTCCAAATCCATAACCACGTCACCTTCATCGTCAACGTGCCCTGGCGGGTCATTATGGTGTTCCTTTGTGAGATGCCAGACTGGCGATGGGAGATCGCCTGCCTCGTCCCCACCGAACACCCTTGACGAATGGATCACCAACCCGCCTTGCTCACCCCGCACAACTACATGCTCATCTTCTTCGGCTGCACGCCTTAGTCCTACTCTTCCTCCCCCTCGGGCTCTTGGTACGTTATCCCTTCTTGCTGTAGGTGTTCTTGATGTCCCGGGAGGTGCGTTCAATATCTGTTGTTCAACTACTACCACATTCGGTCGCCTTATGCCATTGCCCACCGCCACACCTCCTTGTTTCCCTCTTGCCGGAACTTCCACAGCCTCTGCCTGTCGTCCCATCTCCGCCTCACCATTGTTTCCTGCCATAGCCTCCGTATCTCCCTCGCCAAGTCCATCCTCTATCGGTGCCAGAGGTTCAAACCGCGACGTCTGTACTTTGCCATTATTCTCGGTTGGGTTCTTCTCTCCCGTCGGCCGGGATGGTCTTACAGTTTGCCTGCCCCTAGCTCGTGCCTTGCGCTCCGGCGCGATCATCCATTCTCCGAACGGCGCTGCTCCAACAATAACACTCCGCTTCCCTGCTGGAGGCTGCCCACGGTCCTCGTCTTTACCTTCATCCCTCCGGCCCTCCTCGGGCCTGACCATCTTCGGGCAAACATCAGACTCATGTCCATATATGCCGCAAGAGAAACACACCATATGAATTCCTTCATACGCTACAGATCTAACACAACCTTTATAATTAAACTTTAAAATCAGGGGGTTCGTTATATCGACTTCGACGCATATGCGTGCAAACATTCCACGTGAAACTGAGTTCGTAGCGCGATCCACACGAAGAGTCCGTCCCACTTTATTCCCTAGCTTCCTGAGAAAAATAAGACTGTAATATTCTGCAGGTAAACATGGTATTCTGATCCATACCAGGACTTTCTCTGTTACATCCGAGAAGGGGTCGAAGTCGGGCACCCAAGGCTTCACGATCAGGTAGTGATCCAAGACAATCCACAGTCCTTCGAACATGGCGAATTCCAGATCTTCGACAGCCCCGAATCTCACAATGAAATAACCATTGTCTATTGCGATGAGATCCATCTTCCCCTTCGGTTTCCACATTGACGTGAGTCGGCGTAGTAGGTAAGCATAGCCGACGGTTCTACCCATCACTTTAACGATGATCACTGTCCTCCAAGGCGCCCGTATCTCCTCCACTTCCGCCTTCGTCAGCTGAATCGTCGGACAGAGCGGATCATCCTCTTCTTCATCCGATAAGACCTCCTGATCCTCCTCTTCTGGTTCTCCTTCCGTTCGTGGAAGACGCTCAGCATGGCCAGCTACAGTCGCAGCGTAAGATCTCCTGATTGTCTCTGGTACCTGTGACACAAGGGGAGGCGTTACCTGAATAGTTGATTCAAATTCATGCATTACCTGCATGGGAGTCGCACTGTTCGCTATCAGAGCCTGCATGAGAGTCGCACTGTTCGCTATCAGAGCCTCCATCGGCGTTTCCTGTACAAGAGACACGTCCGTCGGTGTTACGTTCGTCGAATGATCGGCCTCCATCCCGTTAGCCTTCTTGGCTTTCTTCGTACTACGCTCCAACAGATCGCGATCTTCTTCCAATCGCGGACTGGAGAGCGTCTCGCCACTGGTTTCCGTATTCGCCATTCACTACTGCTTGCAACAATTTTTATTTCAAAATGATAAATTTTAATATGTAACCAAACCTATTTAAATTTAAAACTATTTAAATTTTATGAAGATGTCATTTTTAGTATTTTTACATTTATCAACTTATCAAAAACTAATTTTACCAAACACTTTTAAGCCTAATCAATTAGTTTAACAGCTCTTCAGTTTTCAACTTGCTTATAGTTTTTTAGCATTCAACTACTTTTCAGCTTTCAGCTACCTTTTCAGCTAGGCTTGCCAAACATAGCCATATACTAAACAGTTCATAAAAACAAATAGGAGTGTGCATAATTCGGTAAAAATTCGATTAACCGATCGAACCGACAAAATTCAATTACCTTTTTTAACCGAAATATTTCTTCGATTAATGGTTAAAGATTTTTAAAAATTTCGGTTAATGGTTAATTCGGTTTGAAAGTATCAATTAACCAAATTACATGTGTATATATATATATATATATATATATATATATATATATATATATATATATATATATATATATATATATATATATATATATATATATATATATATATATATATATATATAGAGTAAAAGACATTTTTGGTCCTAGACTTATAGTGGCACGGACAATTTTAGTCCTTTTTAAAAAAATTAGACAATTTGTGGACACTCTTATTGTGACGAGGACAATTTTGGTCCTCCATCAATTTTTCTGTCAGATGCTCCGTTTGAGGGGGGTAATTTCGTCTTTTCAACATACCTCCTTCTCCTTCCAACCCATTCTTCCATATTCTCCAACTTCTTAAATGTGAATCACTCTGTAAATCCAAACACAAACAATTCCCACAAATATAGAAGTCGGGAGTATTTTGAATATTAGCAGCAGTTATATATGGAGTTGTATTTACGTTGCTATACATGTCTCAAAGTTTTTGTGATTCTTCTATAGTAATTTCGATTGTTCTATTAATATTTTCTTTTATGCGTTAGTGAGGATTCAAATTCAAACTAGTAGGCATAATAAACTCAAGAAATTTTTTAGTTTTCTTTTCAAGTTGGAGCAAGGACAGTGGGTGTTGAGGTGCGTAATCAAAAAGGTAATCAAGCAATTCATTGTTTGTTTGTTAAAATTAGAGAGGGTGTTGACTGATGAATAATTTAAAAGTGAATTTGTGCAAAGAAAAGACAGATTAGAACAAGAAAAATAGAGAAAATTTTATTGAACAGTAATCTGAAGAGCTGCAAAGCTTGTCCTTAATCCACTCGCTTGGTTGGGGAGGAGTTCATATTGAAGTTCAAAATATTATGGTTTAAAGCTCATTTAAGTCCAAGCTATTGTCCTTAAAGTTCAAAATATTGTCCTTAATCCACTCTGTTGTTTAGTTTGATAAGAAATAGGCCACTCTCGGCTTCCATTTTTGTGGGAATTGTTTGTGTTTGGATTTAGATTCACATCTCAGAAGCTGGAGAATATGGAAGAATGGGTTGGAAGGGGAAGGAGGTATGTTGAAAAGACGAAATTACCCCCCTCAAACGGAGCATTTAACAGGAAAATTGACGGAGGACCAAAATTGTCCTCGTCACAATAAGAGTGTCCACAAATTGTCTAATTTTTTTTAAAAGGACTAAAATTGTCCATGCCACTATAAGTCTAGGACCAAAAATGTCTTTTACTCTATATATATATATATATATATATGTTTAATTTTTTTTTTTAAATTCATAAATAATATGGAGTACTATTAGATTAGTTTTTTTTTTAAAAAATAAAATTATCATCTCTGTATTTTTTTTAGAGCATATAGTTTATTTTAACTACAAATTAAATAAGCTATTGCTCTGTTTAATAAAACCGGGAAAGTTTAAAGTAATAGCTTATTTTTAAACACTTCTTCATGCATATGCATGCTTTGTTTGGCAGTGCTTATTTAGAAACATTTAGCTTATTTTAAGCTATTAACAAGTTATAACTCTGTTTGGTAATGTTTCAAAAATAAACTAATAGTTTCATTTTAAAATTTTAAATTTTAATATGTAAACAAACCAACTTAAATTTAAAACTATTATTGTCAACTATGAATACAACGAAGGCATGGCAAGCACTGCATGGTGTCTCCGCCACCGTCCAGCAGCCAAACCAAGTGCATACTGGAATGCTTCCCGAGGCCGTGACAGCGCTGGTGCCAGATCCGGCTGCTCCCTTTCTGCCGCAATCACCCACTGCCGTGCTGCTTCCCACACACCCAAAGCAATGTTATATCGACGCAAGCTTCAATACCAACTTGATGACAGCCACGACCGGAGTACTTTTATTAGACCACATTGGAAGATATGTATAGGCTTACATAACCACCACAAACTTGCTTCTCACCACTTATGGCCGAGGCCCTAGCTTGTAAGGAGGCTTTTATGTGTTGTTAGATGTGTATCGTAGAGGCAAATCTACCACTGTCAAATATCAACAGGCGCGTGAAAGATAAAGTGTTCATAGTATAACTACGATCTAGTCATATACACAGAACAAGGCAAATCTAAAACTTCCTACACCATAGTCTCATTGCATATATGATGCTGCCCCTTATGCTAGCTACCATCAGTAACCCGATTGCACATGACACACTAATAATAAAAAGAAGAGGGCAAGTTCTAAAGATTAAGACAATAACAATGCTACTCAAAAGAAAATTAAGAAGACTTAAAAAAAATTTAAACTAAAAGTAGTATTTATTTAGACTATCGTTTTTAGACTAGCTATTACAAAGTTGCTAATATTTATTTTAGTGACAATTATAATCAATTTTTCGTATATTCTCTTGCATTTATATACTTTGAATTACAGATTTAAATAAACAAATTTAGATTCAATTATCTATTCCTGATCATCTCTTATATAATCTTGTATTGATATACTTTGAAATATACTTATTTAAAAATAATCATTGAGTATGTATTATCTCATTCGCGCAATGCGCTTGAAAAAAACTAGTGTATTATATAAATACTAATGATGCTAGGTTCACAAATATTAGAAAGAGAATTATTTAAATATTACAAATATAAATTGACTTTTTGGTAAAAGTGTTCTATTAAAAAGTTAGCAAATATGATCATTTTAGCCATTTTACCAAATCAAGTCACTAAACAATATATGGTGAATGCCCATTTCCAATAA